CGCCCCTCAGCCCAAAGATTAGCTATGAATGTGGAACCAGGGGAAACAAACTAAGAAACTAAGTTCGTGGCAAGTTGTTGCATTCAGAGGACCCCCTCACATGGGGCTTCTTGTAGGGAGAGTCCTCTCTGGGCAGGGTCGTTTTATGCACCTCGACCAATAGGAGCGTGAATAGGTGGAAAAGAAGGCGTACATACTAAAGGGGTAAACTGCAACATCCTTAGATCTCTAAGACCAGTCGTCTACACCCATCTAGAAACCTAGCAGGGTGATGGAAAAGTAATAATTGGAATGTAGAGAAGGATCTGCCCAACTATACCACCCACCTGAAATACCTTCAAATGTAGATGATAAAGTAGCGGTCTGAGAGGTGGGAACATGTGGTAACTAAATTCAACCTGCAAGGGAGAAAAAAGGAATGGTTAACGTCAAGTGTAAGTGCTCCAGGAAGGAGCAAGGCACGGCCAGAGAAAAAATTATAAGAGATTAACCAAACATTCTATACGGATTACCTGCGCGATCATCAGATCTCTGACCAGGCAGCTCCATTCGGCTGCAAACCCAGCGGGAGGAAGGAAGAATTAGTATAGGTATGCGGAAAGAGCTTGCCCATCCAATAATCCCCAGATTTTGAAAGAAATCAGCGTTCTGAAAGATGGCATCAAGTAGCAGCCAAAGTCCACCTGTAAGGGAGAAGGAAGCAATCGTTAGAGCTAATGCCCAACAAAAAAATTAGAGGTCTTGGCCAAGGAAAAAGTTGCAGGAAAATAGCCAGTCCTAATCAAGTGCGAGTTGCTCCTGTATCTGGTTCAGTTGGACCCGGGCTCTCCTTCCACCTCGGTTGGACTGACACTGCTGTTGCTGCTTCTACCTGCGGATCGTTGAGATCTTCATTCCACCACATGGACGCTGTGTTGATATGCCCTTGTTCACCCTCTCAGCTGTGCCTATTCCTTAACCTCCTACGGTTCAGAATTGCTATTTTCGTGACTGGATCTGGCCCCTCTTACTTTTCCTCCTCTTGGAGTCCGGGATAT